CCCCCCCTCCCCTGTTTCAGCTGCAATCAGTTTGGCATGAGCCCGAGTAGGAGGTTTTGGCCAGTGCTTGTGCTTTTGAGGACTGATCGGTGCATTGCTAAGCTTCCCTCCGCACTGTAGCAGGCAAGACATGGGAGCATATGGCTCAGAGACGTCGACATATGTTTTAAGCACTACAAGATGGCATATTGCAATTGTAGCAGTGTTCTTCATTTTTATTTTTAGCTCAGTTATACAAATAAGATGTTTTTCTCGCTGTTCAGTGTTATCAACATTTGAAACTATTTTTGTACATTATTATCCTCTCTGATTTCTAATCCTATGCAGCTTTGCAAGGTCTAATAGGGAACGTATAGAACCCATGCAAGTTAAACCTTTAATAAAGAGCAATTTGCAAGTACAATTCTCTCATTATTTTTTTTTTATCGATACTTCTGCATATTCAGTGAAATCTGAAGATTAGAGGTTTATGAATAATTCAGTGTTTAGGCTGATGTCTGATTCATGTACTTCAAATCTGGGAGCTGGTTTTGGAGGGAAGAGGAGGAAGGATTTGGTGTTTATTTGCTGTCCGTAAGGCTGTGCTCCACGGGAGCCATGCGATGCTTGGTGCTGCAGCTTTCCCGCCCACCCCGGACCGGCCCCAGCACATGCTGGTGATGTCCCGGCCCCAAGCCCATGGGCTGTCCCCCCCCGCCATGGCCAGCCCTATGGCTGCTGCTGGCGGTGGTAGGGGCAAACGAGGTTTGGGAACCCCCCTGCCAGCGAGGGCAGGTGCCGGATGCACCACGGAGCTGCCAGAGAGGTGATGGACAGATCCAGGAGGGAGAGATGGTTGGAAGAGATGTACCCATGCCTGCTGTGGTGCCAGCCCCCGCATCCCTCCAGTGTCCCCACTGGCCCCTTCCCAGGGAATTCGGAAATGGACTGGAAATGGAGCAGGGAACGGGCTGGTGGTGCTGGTCCGGGGCACTGGGTGCTTCTCCCGGCTCCTTGCTCCAGACCTGGCTCCTGCTGGCACCTCGGTCCCCTGCCAGCATCTGTCCCCGGGCTCAGCAGGTGGGCGCAGACCTTGACGATGGTCTTTCTGGGCAGCGCTTTGCATGTACATTGGTGCAGTAACGTCTGCTGAGTCGGCCCATAAACCAGCCCTACCGTCACATAATCCCGGCCCTTCCTCGGGCTTGCAGCTCCCCCACGGCTTCGATAGACGTTGCGTATGAAAGCCCTGTGGCTCTTGCGTAAAGAAGAAGGGATTGACGTGGCGCACTGCGGAGAAACACAGTGGTCCCCGAGGGGGGACATTCGTGCTGTTCCTGCACCAAAGAGCAGTTGGTGAATTACTCAGGCTCGCCTCACGAGCACAGGCAGAACAGAAAGTAGCACAAATACCCTTCCCCACTGGAACGGTGGGGAAAGTGTCCGCAGGATCACAGGAGAACTTATTTTTACCACAGCCATGACACAGAAGTGCCCTGGCCGCCTCGGGGATCCCGGATGGCCGTGGGCTCAGCTCACACCTGGCCCACGGGACAACGCTGTCCTCGGTGTGGGGCAGTTGCTGCGCCAGGAGCCAGCATGGGGACTCGGAGGTGCTGCCTGCGTGTGAGGCTGGGAGTGCTCTCCCTGAAACACGGTGGGAGTCAGCAGGCGGGGGCAAGTGTGGGTCCTGCTCGTGAGTGCTCACAAGCTGCTCTCAGGGCATCGCTCCTCCTGCCTTCACTGGCCAACAAAGCAGCTCTCCATTTTCCTCCTCTTGTTTGTGGGATCGGTTTTCCCCCCATTATCAGGTTCCCCTGGCAGTGAAGCCCCTCTCTTCCCAGGGGGGCCATCCCAGGCGAAGGGAGCTGGCATGTCACACCAGCGCACCGGGAACGGGTCCTGGGTGGGCCCCACACCATGGGCTGTCTGCCTGACCGCCCCGCAGCAAGCACTGTCAGCACCCCGCCACCCACCACGCAGCGGGTGGGTGCCTTTCCCCTGCACGTTCAGGCGCATAACCCCCCCATCTCCCACCCCTCTCCAAACCCTCTGCGCAGACATGCCCCTTCTCCCTCCAGCCCCTCACAAAGCCTTGGCAAAGGGCGCTTGGCTTCCCGCCACCTGCTCCCACCGGGGCAGCAACCAGAGCAATTAGCAGCTGCTAACCAGCCCCTGCAGTTAGGGTGCTAATCAGATAAATTAGCTGGAAGTGAACTCAGCCTGTGAGCAGGGGTAGTGGTGCTGCCAGCAGAGCTGGAGGCTGCCTTAGGGCTTTAGGGGTGTGGTTGTGTGTGCCCGTGTGCTGCCATGGAACCTGAGCTGGGTAAGGAGTTTGCTGAGCACTGTGAGGTCCCAGCAGAGCTGTGGGGCTGAGGGTCTGCTTGGGTTCTGGTGGCCATGGTCCCTGTGAGGCTGCAGGGATGAGCAGGGTGGTGGCTGCTTGGCTTTGGGGGGGGCTGCAGCCCTCGGGAGTGTCAGTGCCTTGGGGCTGGGCACGGGTCAGGGTCCCAGGAGGTGCCTCTTGCTTCTTCCAGCAGCTGATGCTGCCGGCACAGCTCAGCTCCCGCAACCGCTGGCCCAGGGCTGGTGGCCCTCCCGCCCTTCCACCCTGCATATGGTCATTGAGGCACTGCGGGCCCAGAATGACACGAAGGGCACCTCGGTTGTCGCCATCAAGCGGTTCATCCTGTCCAAGTACCCCACCGTGGACCCCATCCGCCTCAAGTACCTGCTGAAACAGGCACTGAGCAAGGGGCTGAGCCGTGGGGACCTGGTGCGGCCCCGCAACTCCTCGGCTGTGGGGGCCACCGGCCGCTTCAAGGTAAGCAGGGGGCTGCCGGCCCCGAAATGGTGGGGCTGGGGGCCATGGTGCCGCCTGGCCCCACTTTCACCCTTCTCTTGCCCCCAGTTAGCCCCTGAGAAGCTGCGGCACAAGCAGCCGCTGGGCCTGGTGAGTTCCGATGGAGGACAGGCCCCGAAGCCAGGTCGGAAAGGGACCACCAAGCCGCCCCAGGCCCCTGCAGCGAGTCCGCGGCAGCGAGGTGAGGGGCTGGTGGTGCCATAAGCCACTCCGGGGCTGCCCCAGCCCCATGCAGAGGGCTCTGCTTGGGCTTATCCATCACCCCTTCTCCCACAGGGACAGTGAAGGCAAAGCCAACAGCGGAGAAGGCAAAGCCAACTGTGACGAAGGCGAAGCCCACAGTGGAGAAGGGAATGCTGACAGCAGTGAAGGAGAAGCCGACAGCAGAGAAGGCAAAGCCGAGGGCGAAGCCCGCAGATGTGAGTAGGGCCCAGTGGTGAGGCTGGGTGGCTCATGGCCTGGCGGCAGCCTGAGGTGCTCTCTCCCTTCCAGGCCCAGCCACCAGCAGCAGCAAAGCCCAGGAGCGACGGAGCAAAGCCCCTGCAGGCTGCCAGCCGCCGCCGGGCCCCCGGCAAAGGGCGTTCACAGCTCCCCATGGGTCTGGCTGCTGAGGATGCAGGAGGAGGTGGTGGCGATGGTGACAGACCTGTGGGTGCTGGGGCAAAGGGGCCCCAAAAGGCCCCAGCAGGAAAGAGCAAGGGGAAGGCACCCCAGGGGGAACAGCAGGACATCGCCAAGGCGAAGGGGGGTCGAGGCAAGGCGAGGAAGCCCCAGGCAGCCACATCAGTCGGCCAGGGGGAGGCCGGGCTGCAGCGGGCAGCCCCCCATGCAGCGGGCAGGAAGGCCCCGTAGGGGGTCCTGGGTGGCCCCGCTCCCCGTGGGAGCCCAGCCCTGCTTCCAGCCCATGGGGTCTGCATTGGTTTTAGTCCCCAGGACAGGTTTTAGCAAGAGGTGAACACAGACTTAATAAAGATTTTTCACTCCCCTCATGAAATGGTGTGACTGCTGCCCTGCCTGTGGGTCTCTGCCCCTGCACTCCCACCTCCTGGCGCCAAAGTCCTCCAGCCCTGGCCTCGTCCCGCGTGGCACGGTGGTGAGCTGGTGCCCCAGACAGCTGCCTGCCATGCCTGCTGTCATGGAGAAGTGCCCTGTCTATCCCCATGTGTCCCCAGCTGCCAGCTGCAGTGGCACGGCTGGCCAGCCAGCAGTGCTGGGCTTTGGGGGCTGTGTGTGTGGGCTGGCGGTGAGCCCCAGTGCTGGGTGATGGCCCGGGCAGGGTGCCCTGGGACACAGCATGGTGGCACCCCTGGGCACTGCAAAGCTCAGGCTTGGCCAGTCCTGCTGCTGTGGGCCCCGCAGCCTCGGTGTGGGGTAGGTGTCCGGCCCTCTGCCCTCCTGGCTGCCCTTGTGCTAATGCCTGGCTGAGCTGGGATTACAGGAGTGCTGGGGGCAGCAGGTCCGGGTGCATGCCATGGGCAAGGGTCCCTAGCGCTGGGGGGAGCTGCCTGTGCTCTAACGACGGTAAGAGGGAGATAGAAGTGTTTTAGGGCTCAGAAAAAGAGTTTGGGGTGTTTGCTGTAGACTGCAGCATTGCTCATGCTCCTGTTATCTATCTGTGGCACAGTGCCCACCTCTAAACCTGTCTTGCTAGCTCCTGTGGGTCAACATATGAACGCTTTCATTTAATAGTTTCAAATGCTTGAATTTCTCTTGCTCTGCACAGAAGAGAGCCCTTCTGAAGGTCAGTCTGATAATGCAAAGGGTTACAGTCCTCCTGGGCAGGAGAAAATAAGTGGAAGTAAAACTCTCTTCCTAAAGAGGATTTTGCTAATCTTCAGCTGGCCTTGCCAATGCCCTCCAAGGCTCCTGGCCTTGCTTTGGGGCTTAAGCAAGAGCTGAGCAAACTAACTTCTCTTTAAACTTCAGCCTTGGCCGTGTTGAGCCATCTTTAATGGAGCCGAAACTTGTGTGCCCCCAGGGACAGGGTGGGAGGTGCCACAGTAATAACTAAGCAGAGCTCGCCTGGCCCTGTGATGGTTAGCCTCACCACGCACTGCTTGCTTGCATGGAAGTGTCCTGTAACAGAACTGGGCAGGAGCTGTGTCCTCTCAGCAGGCACCCAGTGTGAAATGTGAGGCTCTTTCGCTTCGAGAGGCCAAATCATTTAATGGCTGGATTTAGCTTTACTAAGAATCAACTTCCTAGCAGGGAAAGAAAATCCCTCTGGTGTCTGGAAAGAGCAGCTTTTACCAGGGGAGGTGGAAGAGAGAGGATTTAGCAATGCCATGGTTATTAAGACCCATGGGCCACAGTGGGTGTCACAGTGCTGAAGCCAGAAGTGTCGAGGGCTGGCCACAGTGGTGGTGCAGAGCCAGGCGCTGGGCTGCCCAGGGCTGGGAGAGGACACTGTCTCATGGGGTGACAGCACCTGGCAGAGGTAAGGGCACCCGGTCCTGGGCACTGCTGTAGTGTTACTGGTCTGCGAGTGTGCGGCACAGCGTGCGGTCAGTTAAGGCACGTGGCTGTGTCCTCGCACAGCTCTTCCCCCTCCTGCACCAGCTCCTGTTCTGGCAGGACCCTCGGTACTGGGTAGCAGGAGCAGTGCGTGGCCACAGTGGGCTCTGCAGGACATCAGGGCTCTGCAGGACATCAGGGCTCTGCAGGACATCAGGGCTCTGCAGCCCAGAGGGGTCAAACTCTATCTTGTATGGAAACACGGTGGTTATGAGCTGAGCTGCCAACCCTGAGCATGGTACATCTTGTACATGCAAAGCTTGCTGCACATCCCTGCAAGCCACCCTCCTGCTCGTGCTCCTACGCTGGATGAGCATGGCGGTCAGCAGGCCAGGGGGTGCGGGAGGACAGGCGCCCTGTCCTCGGCAAGGGACAGCAGCCTGACTGTGGGTGGCAACGGGTGTCTGCCACTGTGTTGTGTGCCCTCTGTGTGCACAGGGGCAGGAACTTCACTACGCTGGTTTCAGCATCTTGTTTTATTACAAAGATAGGCTTTTCCAAGAGTCTGCCACTTCACTACACAGCAGGTAAGGGCACTACACCCACGACACGTGCCAAAGTTTAAAAACATGTTACAAAGGGCTTGGGGGTTCAAGGCAACACTACAAACCCTCAAGCTTCTGCGCCATTAAAGTTGTTCCTTGAAAATGGTTGTAGCAACTACTTTTTTTTTTATTTTATTTTTCTTGCTTTGGAAAAAAATTAAATAATAAAGCAATAGGCCCCAATACATGGTCCAGTCACATCACCTGGAGGCAAACTATACTATTGGCTCACCTGTATCCTTTCCTTGTAACAACATGGGGCTGTTGCTCCATGGCCCTCTCCCCACTTCCCCAAGCTCAACATTCTCTGCCACCTTGGTCCTTCTCACCCTTGCCTTCCCTGTGCTGGGCCTGCCTATATCTCTGGCAGCTATTCACAGTTTCTAAAAGAAAAAAAATTCAAGACTTTTTTTTGTGAAATCACTTTCAAAATAAAATGTAGCCCAGCTACATTCTTAGAGTTTCTATTCTGAAGCCACATCCTCAGCAAAGACATTGAAACCTCTACAGTGTATGTACTTTTTTCTGTAGTTCTTTTTTTAAAAAAAAACCCGAAACTCTGTTCTTCCCCTTTCCCTCCCCTCCCTCCCCCCCTTTTAACATACTGGATAAAGTCTATCATTTGTTTTAAAATAGATATCTATATACACACACACGATTCTGATGTTCCAATTTCTGACAAATGTGGCATTACTGGAAACGATGGGATGGAGGCCACCTGTCCACGGCAGTGAGTCACCCAGGAAGAGTTTTGGTGGTCCAAAGTCATCTAATACCAGGTTGCATCCTTGCCAGCTGGATGAGTAACGAAGGCTCACCTTTGGCCCTGCCTGGAGTGAGGTAGTAACTTTTTTCTTTTTTTTTCTTTTTTCTTTTCTATTTGGCAGTTTGAAAATGCGGTGGCTACGGCTGGGTTTAGCTCTCATGGGCAGGTTGCCTTTGCCTGCATGGGAGTGCTGGCTTTGAGCATGTGGCGCTAGCTGCGGTCCAGCCTCTACAGAGGGGCCTGAGTGATGCTGGAGAAGACCAGAGCTGTCCTGGCTCCCCTGGCTGCAGAAAGGACGAAGCTGCCAGCACAAAGGAGAATGGACCACCAAGCTGGGACAGGGGGTTTGCCCCAGCGCAGATGCTGCGGGTCAGTGGTGAAGTTTCTTGGTTTGTGCAGTGAGACCCTGCTTGCTGACCCCAGTGTAAGGAGGTGCGAGACACTTTCAGCCTTTGTTTGCAGGTTGGGCTGCTGGAGCGGCTCTGCTGGCCTGTGCAAGCGAGAGCATCGCACTGCCAGGGGGATGGGGTCCAGTCTTTTGCCTTTACGGGCTGAAAAAAAGAATGGAAACAGCACAATTGCATTCTCTTGGTTGCTTTCAGGTGACAACCGTGGTGGGCTGTGTCTAAAGCAAGCAGAACAAACTGCTTTAGGAAGACACCTCTGTAGCACTGACCTTGTTTTCAGTGATGATAGCAGGGAGGTGCTGGAGCACATGGGGCAGAGGGAGGGCAGATGCTACCTGGTGTTTTGCCCTGCACAGGGCTCAAGTCTGCTCTGTCAGAGGGCTGTCAGCAGGCGCCAGCCCCTGCGGGCATGAGCGGCTCTGCTGAGGCTGAGCCGGGACAGTGCCACAGAGGTGCGCACAGCCAGCACGGCAGGGAGACTGGAGCGGGAGGCAGAAGTCCTGCCCCTCATCTATTGTGTCTGGTCTTACGCTTCTAGGCAGAAGCTGTGCCTGTGACCGGCTGGCTGAAAGGTGGGTCGTTAGGGGACATCTGCCTACCACTGCAACTCCAGCTCCCTGTGCATGCAGATCTGGGAACCTGGGGAAGGGGGAGCAGCCCTTCCCACGCTGTCTAACACGCCACGCTCCCTCTGGCTCCCTAACAGCTGTCTGCCAGGGGGTAAAGTGCTTTCACCATGCCTTAGCTGCTTGGGAAGCAACTGCTTTGTCTCAGCCCCGAGTTCTCCATGTCGCCCAAATCTCAGATGGAGGAGTGGTTATGTTTACACATACAGTACAAAAATTAAAAGGCACAAAAATACACAGAATGCAGCAGATAGTGAACAGTTGATAGCGTCCCTGGTGTTGGAAAAACAAGGATGTCAGAGGGATGGTGTGGAAGGGAGCTCAGGCGTTGCTCCAATGGCCGTTGCCGTCTCCACTTGTTACTCCCTGAGGCTACCCTTCTGCTTGGTGTCTATTGTTACAGCTTCTGCAGCCCCGTCTCTTGTCCTGAGGAACCACAAGCAGGGATGCAGGGAGCCACTGACCGCCCGGGCGCTGATCAGAGGGAAGTGGTGAATTGAGCTTGCCACAAGTGTCACGTCTCCGTTTCTGGCTGGCAACAGCAAATAAATTATGGGTGCCACAGTGCAGACCAGGGGGGGTTTGAGCTGCTCGGAAAGGTGTCTTGTGGCTTCTTGTTAGGTGAGGGAGCCCGTCAGCCGTGGTCCAGGCCCACCCCCACCACAAGGCTGGTTTGAGTATGGCCCTGGCAGAGGCAATGCATGGTGTATCCACGGCTGAAGGCAGGTTCCCTACGGCACGGCGCTGTGCAGAAGGTCACTTCCAGGGCTGCAGCCAGCCTAGGCTTCACTGCAGCACTCGTAGATGTTATCCTCCATGAGCGCAATCACTTGCTCGAACTTGTGCTGGAGCTGGGTGCGCTTCGTTGTGGGGTTGGCGTCCAGGGCAGCCACGATCTGCAGGAGACACGGGCAGGTGGGCGACCAAGGCAGTGCTGGGCTGGGGTGCCCACCCGCCAGCCCAGCTCCCCCCACCAGCCCTGTTGAGCCCAAAT